TGAGACCCTCACAGAAACCTCTCCTGCCTCGTTCTTGTCAGAAACTGAGAAACAAAATAATTGCAACAATGATTATAGTGGCATTAACATACAGTTTCATGTTATTTAACAACATATAATTGTATATGCTGAGGCTGGTAATCCCAGGCGAGTACCTACATTTACATTTAACGTTAGTCATTTAGCAGACGCTTTTATCCAAAGCGACTAACAAATGAGGACAATGGAAGCAATCAAAATCAACAAGAGAGTAATGATATGCAAGTGCTATAACAAGTCTCAGTTAGCTAGACACATAACTGTACATTTAAATGCTGACAACTAAACACTATCATAACTGTTTAGGCTAATGTTAGCTAGCTAGCGATGCTATCTCATAAATGACATCAAATGGTATTCTTGATAATCGATAAATACCTTCATAGTCATGAACATTTTTTTAAACATAATATTTTAAAGCCTTTATTAAATGACATGAAATTAGCATTATAACCAGTATATGGCAGCAGAGGATCACTTAATAGCTCAGCTGCCATTTCAACTCGCTATTTTGTTGTTCATATCTTGCTTTTGGATTTATTATCAAATGTACATTCGTGGCCAAAAGTTTTGGCAGGGACAAATTTTGTTTTGCAAAGTTTGCTGCTTAAGCTGTTGTGGTGTTTATTAACATTGTTTCTAGATTATTGTGTAGAGTGATCACATGCATTTTAAATAATTGCTAAAAGCTTCATAGGCCAAACAAATGTACTTTTCACAAAAAAAAAAATTCTGTTTTTATTTTTATCCTGACACAAAATGACCAGCTAACATTAATTGACTAATCATATCAGCAGCACATGTGAAAGTGTGACTAAGTACTAGTCAGGTGAAATCACTATCATACTAATTAGATTGTAAGACCAGACTGATTGCTATAAAAGGAGGGAAGAAGCGCTTCCAAACATTGTTCTTGTTAGCAATGGTTACCTCCAAAGAAACATGTGCAGCTGCCATCACTTTGCATCAAAATGGCCTCACATGCAAGGAAATTGCTACAAAGAATATTGCATCTGAAAGAACCATTTACCAGATCATCAAGAACTTCAAGGAGAGAGGTTTGACTGCAGTGAAGAAGTCTTCAGGACGTCCCAGAGTGTCCAGCAAGCACCAGGACCATCTCCTCCTGAGGAAAGCAAAGTTATTTTCTCTGATGAAGCTCCCTTCCGACTGTTTGGGACATCTGGAAAATCGATTGTTCGGAGAAGAAAAGGTGAACGCTACCATGAGTCCTGTGACGTGCCAACAGTGAAGCATCCTGAGACCATCCATGTGTGGGGTTGCTTTTCAACCAAGGGAGTGGGCTCTCTCATAATTCTATATCAAACAATATCAAAACGTCCTGCGAGAGCGACGACTTCTAACGATCCATGAGCAATTTGGTGATGATCCGTGCATTTTCTAGCATGATGGAGCACCATGTCACAACGCAAGAGTGATAAAGAAGTGGCTCGAAGATCATTACACTGAAATTTTGGATCCGTGGCCAGGCAACTCCCCGGATCTCAATTCCATAGAGAACCTGTGGTCAGTCCTCAAAAGGCGAGTGGACAAGCAGAAGCCCACAAATTGTGATCAACTCCGAGAACTAATAAGGCAAGAATGGATCGCCATCAGTCTGGATTTGGCCCAGAAGCTAATATCCAGCATGCCAGAGCAAATTGCAGAGGTTATGAAGAACAAGGGTCAACACTGTAAATATTGACTCATATTTTTTTTGCCAATAAAAGCCTTTAAAACTTATGATATGCTTATTGTTTTTCAGTATACCATAGAAACGTGGAAAAATAATCTACAAACACTGAAGCAGCAAACTTTGCAAAACACAAAATTTATGTCACTGTTAAAACTTTTGGCCACGACTATAACAAGTTTTAGTACTTTTACTGTACTGAAGTATAAAGTATAGCAAGTGCAGGAAGTCACAAAGTCTCATGTCATTTAAAAAAGAAATTAAGCCCAGCCTAGAAGGGTTAATTATTTAACTACAAATTAAATAAGTTAATTATTAATGGTATAACAATTATATAATGCATTACATTTTTTTGAAATATTTTTAGATTTAATTAAAAAATTACATTAAATTTTATCTTTAACTGTAGAAGCTGCTAAATACATTCATCTAACACAGACTTGCTGCTGTAGTTTTGTTACTCTGAATTTAGTCTGAATTACTTAATGCACAGCTTTGTTTC